TTCTGGGAGTCGAAGTCCACCCATCTTAAAGTGGCCAAGGTTGAGAAACACTGCCTTAGGTACTTGTATCAGATGTTGGGGTGCCAAAAAATAATGGTGACACTCACAGGAAATTGTCACCTCACACACTGGCGGTCATTTGGCCCAGGCACTGCTAATGACAGAGGGTGCTCCTTCGCTAATTCCCTGTTTCATTCTTTTTAATTAAAGAATCGGAAATAAGTTAATAATCAGGACAGCAGAGATCCCGGCCTGCCTCTGCTTTTTACCCCACGTCCTACGCTTAACCGCCGGCCACCAGATCCGACTCCTTACACAGGTAGGCATCCGAGAGCCAGGACGCAGCTCTCCCCAGCTTGAGTGGGTCTGGATGTGTGGGACCACAACCTCCATCATTTTCAAACAGCTTGGGGGACACCATCTGGAGAGGTCCCAATGGGGCAGCCCTCTTTCACAACGGCCACGCTCCACCTTCTCACGGGAACCAGGGGATCGAGGCCAGAGATCAACCCTACAGGGAGGCGTGAATCTGATCTCCAGCGTCTCTCAGCAAAATAGTCCCAAATTGGTCTCGTAAACCATTCTTCCATTGCTTTGACTGATTTATTGCCGCCGTTCAGTGTCAGAAAATCGGAGGGATCTAGTAGGAAATCTACTTACAAAGGGATCTAATTTTTCCAAAGGAAACTAGCAGGAAATCTACTCACAAAGGGATCTAATTTTTCCACCTAGCACTATGAATTATGTGTTGAACTACCACCATTGCTGGTTACAGCAAAGCTCTTTTTAGTCAGTTGTACTAGCCAGAAAACGGGCGACGAGACTGAGTTTTGGCTGCTACTGTATAGATTAACACTTCTCCCCTGACCCCGGTTCAATATCCGATGATGCTTTCAACTAAGCCTCGTGTGTTGCATTTTCAGGATGGGGGAGATTGTTCTGGAGGACAGGATATCTCCCAAAGAAATCTCCTCTGTGTCCTCAGCAACAGCTAATAAGAAGCGGTAGATCCAAAGGACTGGCTGGGAATTTCAAAATCCCATTTCTAGCCTTCCCTGGCAAGTCACCACGGGTTGGCCTCAGCAGTTCCACCTATCAAATGGGAACAAGCAGGAGCACAGAACGCTTTGCACAGAAGAGACTGGCTGTACTAGCAGATAAAAGACAGAAATATTGAAAGCCAGGGCAGTGCAAATTAAAGGAAAGAGTGTGTGTGTGTGTGTGAGACAAAAAGTTAATATAAACTTTAAAGGCGCCTTATAACTTGCAGCCATGGGCGCGAGTCCAAGGCGGGAGTCGCGAAGCGGAAGAACCTGGGGGAAAAGCCTGCATGCGCAGCTCCCTCCCCTCGCACCGAGGTGTCCAGGCCTTTATTTTCCTCGTAATTACCGCGGGGAAATGCCTGGCGTGCCAGGTGAGCGAAACTCAAAACTGGAGGAAGGATTTCCTGTGTGGAAAAGGTGCCCGAAGAAGCAAATTGGACCCGGGCAGAGGAACTCGCCATTGTGGAGAGAAAATACCAGCCAGAAAACGCAGGCAAACCAGAAAAAGTGTGCCACCAGAAGTGGGGCGGGGGGGGGCATTAATTTCTTAATCAAGAAATTAACGGATGGATGGATGGATGGGTGGGAGGCAGGGAGGGAGGGAGGGCAGGCGAAGGGGCACCTGGTCGGAGAAAGCAGGAAACGACCGTTCCCTCTTGAGAAGTCCGTGGGGACGCCTCTGCCCCAAATCCCTCACCTTTCGCCGCTCACCTGCGCGAAGGGATCCGCGGAGAGTGCGGCTTCTCTGTTAGGGCAGCAGACCCGCCCGCCCGCCTGC